TGGAAAGTTCACATTTGGCAATTTTCTGGTGCCTGCACATTCCCCATCCAGATCCGGTGTGTGTTGGCACTGCCAGTGCCTAGATCTGGCAATTTCCTGGTGCCAGCACAACCCAAATGCAGCAATTGTCTGGCAAAGAAAGCCAAAGCCCGGCACTGCCCAGATCTGCTGTGTAGGGGTTGGTTTAAAAGAAGAGGGAGACCTCAGCTTAAGGCCATGGGAAAACCCTCTTTAGTTGGGGTGAGCAGGAGCTCCCGCCCATGATCCTCTCGTTCAGTTATGCAGATTGTTACTAGAAAGTTCTGAGTTCTCTTTGCTACCATTGGTTACTTTTTACTGCAAAAATTGTAATATTCTTAATCCTTCCTTCCTCTTGGATCCTTCCCTCAGATCCCACCTTAACCCCTCCCCATATATAAATGTATAAATATTCCTGCTAGACCCTGGGCCCATGCTTTTTTCTGCTTCTCTCTCTGTACCGTGCACGCCGTCCTGTTTGTTGTGTTTGCCTTCATTAAAGTTCTGTTTCCAGAGCACCAGATGAAAGCAGTCTCTGTCTGTAAAGTGGCCAGAGCTGATTCTCAGGAAAACCACTGGTCGACGGTCTGGATGAGGACCAGAAGGTTTCACTGGTGTTTGCTGGCACTGCCAGTGCCCAGATCTGCAAATGTCCCTGTTCTGGCACAGCCCAAGTGCAGCAATTTCCTGGCACAGAAATCCAAAACCTGGCAACTTTCTGCTACTGGCTCTGGCACCACTCACATCTTGTGTTTGCTGCACTAGTGCCCAGATTTGGAAATTTCCTGGTGCCAGCAGAGCCCAAATCCGGTAGATTTCTGTCGCTGGCAACGACACCACCCAGATCTGGTGTTTGCTGGCAGCGCCAGTGCCCAGATCTGAAAACTTCCTGGTGCTGGCACAACCCAAGTCCAGTGATTTGCTGGCACAGAAAGCTGCAGGCACAGCCATGGAGCAAAGAGCCCTGAGAGTGCCCAAGCTGCTCTGGCTGGAGGAGGAGGAGGAAGAAGGCCCTGGAGCTGCCCCAGCACAGGAGACTGAAAAGGTGGTGCCATTCAATCCACCACAGGAGGGTGAGTGGCAGAGCTGGGCTGCAGGGCTGGAGCCTGCAGCCAACTTGGCCCCACGCCATGCCATGCCATGCCATGCCATGCCATGCCATGCCATGCCATGCCATGCCATGCCATGCCATTCCCTGGGGAAATGCCCATGGACAGGATGGAAGAGGGGCCGGGCAGACACCCCACAGTGGCCATGCTCCATCCCCTGGGCCATCCCGGGGCTCTCCCTGCCTGGGGAGCACAGGGCTGGGCTGTTCTCCCGCCTCTGCCACAGCCCCTCAGCTCTGGCTGCGCTCGCTCTTTGGCAGATGCAGCCAAGGACCGGACTCAAGAGCAGTAGTCCAGCCATGGCCTCTTCGGCAGAGCAGTGCAGGTACCTGTGGCCGTCCCCACCTGGGCCGGGCCTGCTGGCGCTGCTCAGCCGGGCCCCGCGCTTGGAGCAGGCCATGGAACATCCCTCTATTCCTGCCCTTCCTTCTGCTGCAGACCCTGCGGAGGCTCCTGCGCCTTGGCCACACAAAGACCAGCAGCACCAGCGCCGAGGGCACGGCCGAGCCTGACTCCAGGCCCGGCCAGCTGTGGGCAGAGCCTGCTGCCAGCTCAGCATCCTCGGAACTCGCAGCAGCCTCTGAGCAGGACATGGCCCAGGGCAGGGTGGAGGCTGGCATGGCCCTGACTGAGGGCATGGCCACCACCCACACCCAGGCTCAGGGCATGCCAGACACTCAGGCCATGCCCATGCTGACCGGGACTCCTGCACCCACTCTGGATGGTTTTCCAGAAGGATGCTGCTTCTCCACAGCAGGTAAGCAGCCTCGGGCCAGGGCTGAAGGCCTCCCAGGATCACGTGGCCCCTCAAGCTACATCCGCTGGACCCCGTCAGCCTTTGAGGCCATCACAGTGGGGTGGGAAGGCAAGCACTTCTTGTGGGAAGCTGGGCAAGTTGCTCCCTTGGACAGCACTCCAAGTCTTCCCCAATGCTGCCTCCTCCAGGTGCAAGCCACGGTCAGCGACATTCTCCAGAGACTGGCGTCCCATGTCACCATGGACGCCGAGCTACAAATGGAGATTCTGAGCCTGACAGAGGAACATCCTGCTCAAGTGGTGATGAGACTCCTATGCTGTGCCCCAACGTGTGACAGGTATGGAGCACAGGTGCCTCAAGAGCTCAGTGCTCACCAGCCCCTAGGGCCCCTTGCCCTGTCCAGCGGGCTTAGCCAGACAGGTGGAGAGCTGCGGGAGCCTCAGGCCCCTCTGTTTCCTGAGCCTCTGCCATGCTTCCTCCCTGCCCCTCAGGGCACCAGGGCTCTGTCCCCCAGCCCCACACAGCTGCACAGGGCATGGTGCTGACGCACAGCTCTGGTCCCACAGAGCCGCTGCGCTGATGTGGAGAGCCATGGGCACGTCTGGAGTGGCTGCCCAGGAGGTGCTTCCAGCGCTACTGTTGTAGTGTGTTGCAATATCCTGTTTTACCTTCTCCCTTCCCCCTCGCCCCTCGCTGAGTGTGCCCTGTCAATCAGGCTAACATACCAGCAAGGCGTCGTGTGATAGGTGTCCCTAGTCCCTTGAGACCCTGCCCCTTCACCTGGTTGGTGGCTCACCTGTCCCCTCCCCTTCCCCTGTCCTGAGTTTAAAATGTTAATGAGACCATGCGGCCTCGATTCTGTTAGCAGCAGTGGCCCGGTGCAGACATCTCTGTACCCACAGAATAAACATCTGGCAACCTTCTAGCAGAATCCACTCCCTTTCTCTCCACCATCGCCAGAAGCTCTCTCTCCTGAGGCAAACGAGTCCTGACAGCCTGGACTTGCCCCGCTGCACTCTCCAGCAGCCAAGGTATCTCTGGGGTAAAACACCGCAGTGCTGCCTTTGGCCCAGCAGCGAGGGTCAGAATTGGCCCAGGCACCATCTAACTGGTTATATTGGGATTCATATTCCAATAGCTACTCTCTGCCATGGAGGAGCAGCTGCCCTACGGCAGCTTCTCCTGCAGAGACAAGACCGTCCTTGCCCTGGCTGTGAGTTTCTGGAGCTGGCCTTTGCTCGCCCCCTCGGTCACCTCTCTAGCAGCTCTCCCTGCTCTCCCCAGCCTGGGCTGAGAGCTGGCCTCCGGGCAGGCTCAGGGGCAGCAGGCTGCGTGCTCCCCCTGTGTCTCACCTCGGGCCCTGCCTCATGGACACCTCGGCACTGAGCACTGCCTTGGGGTAGGCAAGTGCTGCTTGTCTTGCCAAAGGGCTGCTTTGTCTCTTGCAGGCAACTCTGGTGCTGTGGAGGATTGCCCACATGTATGAGTGGCACTGTGGCATTCTGCTTCATTCTCCCCAACTGTTTGTGGCTCTGTTCTTGCAAATTGTCACCGCCACAGAGCAGATGCCAGGGGACGTTGAAACCTGGAGATTCTGGAGAGCGTGGTGGGAGGAACATGGCCTTCCCAGCAAGCCCAACAGGTGCCAGTCGCCCTGTCCTTCCCACCCCCTCGTGACCAGGGCCAGTGCTCCCAGAGTGACCTGGCCTTTGCTCGGCATGCAGGTTTGCAGTGCAGACCATGAGGGCTCTGCTCTCCCAACCGGGCTTTGGCAAGAATCTGCTGGCTCTGGAGCACAAGCACCTCTGGGACACCCTGCTCTGTGCTGACACCCAGCATTATGCAGCGGGTCTGCTGGCCAGGTGAGATCCCCTATTCCTGCCACCACCGCCAGCATTTGTGCCCCCTGCCCAGAGTGCCCCACACAGTCCCTGGGGCTGTAAGTGAGAGGGCCTTCTCACCGAGGGAGGGCGGAGCAGACTGGGAAAGGCTGGGAGAGGAGGATGCCCAGCAGCAGCCGCCTCCCAGGGGGCCCATATGCCCTTGCAGAGTGCTGGGGAAAGATCAGACCTCTGTGAAACCATGCCTGGGAAAGGTCTGCCTGCCCGGCTCAGGGCCTTAGTGCCTTTTTCCCCTGGCAGGGAGATGCGCTGTGGCTTGAGTCCCTTGTGTGTCTTCATGGCCTCGCACCTGCTCAGCCTCCTCATTGGGAAGCAGCCCTGCTGGCATCTGCCTGCCCTGGCCTTTGTGGAGGTGAGCCTGATGGCCAGCACTGCCTGGCTGAGCTGCCTCCCAGCTCTCTGGCCTCTCATAGCTGCAGCCACCTGGGACGGTGCCTGCGCCCTGTGCTGCTGCCTGGGCCCAGCCCTGTGCAGCTCCAGGCTCCTGCCAGCCGGGTCCCTGTCACTGCCCTCCTGTGCCATTCAGCTCCTGCAGTATCTGGATCTGAGGAAACACGGTCCCAGTGCCCTGCTAGTGGTATCCAGGCACCTGCCGAGCCAGTGCAGGGACAGGCTGTGCCTGGCACTCAGAGGCCTCGTGGTGCTCAGCAATGAGCCCTCGCTGGTGAAAAGGGGGCAGTGGCTGAAGCCATGCTGGCAGTGTGGGGCTGGGCAACGCAGACCTCTGGGCTTGGCTGGGCTTTGGCAGAGGCAGCTGCTCCCAGCTCTCCTGCCTCCTGCTTCAGCTGCCCCAGTGCCCCAAGCAGCTGTTGGTGCTGTGGCTGTCCTCAGCTTCACAGCACGGCCTGGTCTTACACACAGGGAGGAGGAATACACGGCCTGTATCAACACCTGGTGCAGCAGCTGGCTGATCCAGATGCAGAGGTGGTCTGGATGAGCCTCTGTGTGCTCACACATATGCTCTAGGACAAAGACCTCCTGCTACCCAGCGTCACCACCCTGAAGCTGGCTGAGCCCCCTCCTGCCACACTTTGAGAACGTAAGGCTCTGTGCCCCCAGCCAAGGGCACTGGACATTGCCTGGAAACTTTGTGCTCTGTGCAGTTCTGAGCCTTTGCCCCAATGGGCCCAGAGTAGTTGGTGCTTAGGACTTTTCCTTTCCTTCCAGGACAACAGCCATGTGCAGCTGCTCTCCATTCAGCTCTTNGCACCTTACCAAGACAGGAGTTGCATTCCAGGAAGGAACTTCTCGTTCCACCATTTCGATGCCCACGATTCCCAAAGACCATATGTCCACTTTGGGGCCACATGGTTGACCTGTCACCACTTCAGGCGCCAGCCACCCAGCAGCGCCGTCCACGGAGCTCCGTCTGCCCTGCTCAGGGCTGAGCTGAGCAAAGAGGCCAAAGTCAGCTGTGGAGAAAGCAACAAACCATGAAAGCCAGTTCCAAGCAGGAAACCAAGCAAAAGAATTCCCCACTCTCAGGCTAAGAATGTGCTGTTGGATCTCATGGAGAACTGTCCACGCTCGATTTCCTTGGGGCTTTAGCCAAGGGAGTATGGAATTGGCCACTTCCAGAAAAACCCAGGTTTCTTAACGCTGCTCACAGCAGTGGACTTTATTCCCCTGAAGCTTTAGATTGTAGCTCCCTCTGTCTGGAAGGGACACACATAGAGCAAGGCCATTCTTGACTGCTTGTGGTTCCTTATACCTCTGTGCACGTTGCAACTGTGCCCTCAGCTCACAGCGGGTGTCCCTGCACTGCCACCAGCACCATTTTTGGGGAGCTGGCTGTCACTCCAAGCAGCCCCACACCCACATCCCTGGAATGCTGCACCTGACCAAGAATATACTGACCCAGCTTGACAGAGCCATCGGTTCTGAGAAGGATGTTTCTTCTCTTCACATCTTGGTGGATAACATGGTTTGAATGAAGAAAATCCAGTCCTTGCAGGCACTGAGTGAGAAAACAGAAACAGGAGGGCAAAAATGAGTGATGTGATTTCATCACACAAGAAAGGAA